TCTTTCCCCTTACATAGATTAAATGAAAGTTTATCTGTCTCTGATCTCTGGTTTAACATTTTCAGTTGACTGCTAGAAATCCTTATTTGAACATTTCACAGGTACCTAAGATTCAGTACATCTAGAAATGAATTCTTCTTTCCTTCTAAACATGCTCTCCTTCCCATGTTCTCTAGTTAAAATGCCATTAGTACCTTCTTTTCCTTTACAAATTTTTTCTATTGTCACCTTGGATTCATGTTCTCAAAATTGTATTTGATGTCTCCTCTTGCAGATCAAATCACTTTCCAAAGTATTTGATATTGACTCCAAAGTGATCTTAACATTCACATTCTGTCCATTTCTACTGCAACTACCCCAGTTTAGTAATTGTTCATTTTGTTATTAAACTATTACCTCCTCCACCAAACCTTTATTCTGGCCTACTTCCTATGTTTATAATCCTTAATATTAAAATATAGTAATATGTGTTTGTCACGTTTTTCTTTGATTCCTAAAACTCATATCGATTCATTTCCTCTCCCTCTCCCATGGATTAGAGAAGTGGTCTGCAACTTTTCTGGTCTCAGGACCCCTTTACAGTCTTAAATATTATTGGAAATTCCAAAGATCTTTTGTTTATGTGGGTTATATTTATCACTATTTAATCTGTAAGTGTTTAAAACTATAAAAGTTTAAACTATGTATTTATTTACCCAATTAAAATAATATATTACATTAATGTAAATATTTTTATAAGAAATGATTACATTTCTAAAACAATAAGTAATTTAGTGAGAAGAGTGACATTATTATGCATTTTCTAAATCTCTTCAATACCTGACTTAATATAAGACCAATGGATTCTCACATCTCCTGCATTCAGTCTGTTATATAGTTTTAGTCGAAGTATGTAAAGAAAATCCAACATGATATGAAGTTAGGAAAGAGTATGTTAACAGTAATTTCAGATCATTGTGGATAGTCTTCTTTGATACACCAAATCTTGACAAGTCGTAGTGTCACAGATGTGTTTTGCAATGTGCACTCTGAAGAAGCCTTGTCCGTGAACTTTCCTACTTTGTTACATCAAAATACATTGGTCTTTCTTCTGCTATGAGTGGATAGTTTACCATGTGTGATTTTGTAACATCGTGCATTAGTCATCTGGGAAATATTGACTCACTGAGTTATGTAGATCCTCCAAATATTGACACATCTAATTAGACAATATTGGAAAAAATCACCTCCTCATCTCCATTAATATCACGATGGTTCATAAAAGTTTTCCAGAATCCTCATTTTTGGCTTGAAAACTCCAATTGACCATTGGCAACAAATAGCTGTTTTCCTTGAAATGACATATTCACTTTACCTATGACAAAATGTCTTCCAAATATACCAGTCTGAATAACCATAGGTGTCTTTCATGTAAAAATGGTATTCTATGAAAAAAAAACCCGATAGCTAGTTCAGCTTATAAATCAATCACACAAGTACTTTTCCATGAAAAGAACATCATACTATGTTATGCAGAAGTGCTTTATATATACCTCCCATTTCTTTACATAGACTATGGGTTGAAATCTAATAAAATTTATTAAAATTAATCATTTTTACTGCATTTACAAGGACATTCCTAGGTACATTTTTATTTTTAATTCAATTTTATAATTTATAATTTATTTATTTTTACCATGAGTACGTGCCAGTGAAGAATGCAATTTCGTTTGTTGAATGAATGAATTGCTGTCACAGCTCTACAAATTATACAGATTCTTTATGGAATTTATGTGCTCAGAAAGAGCAGATTATAGACCAAATTCTCTTTTATCATCAAGCCTTGAATAGATCCTTCTGATAAATCAGTTGAAAACATTTGACTAATGAAGGAGTCTTGGAGTGCTTTTACCCAAGAGAGCTCTGGACTCACTTTCTGATCCCAGGTTTCCAATTTCTGTATTGTTGGCCTTCAGCCCTTTAAGCTCTTTAAACATCAGAATTTTTCTTCCATCTGAAGATATCACAAGTTAATATTTAGGTCCCAAACTTGATTTCTTTCTTTGTTTTATCAGCCAGTTAATCATTCCTAATAAATCATAGTTTATTACAAACAGAATACATATTCCCTCCCATAAGTAATACTAGTATGAGCTTTTAAAATTTTTTTAATGAAATAAGGCCATGAATTTTTAACTCTCACGTGACTGATTATGAGAGAAGAGTAAATTGGGAAAAATTGGGTTTGTAAAAAGCATAGTGATCGGGAGAAATATTAGTTTTATTTTAGGTAATACATGAGGGTTAGAAAGTTTAAGAGGTCTAAAGGGAAGAAGGTGGCTTTTTTAAAAAATTTATTTATTTATTTTATTTTTGGCTGCTCTGGGTCTTCATAGCTGCACGAGGGCTTTCTCTAGTTGCGGTAAGTGGGAGCTACTCCGTTGCGGTGCTCGGGCTTCTCATTGCTGTGGCTTCTTTTGCTGTGGAGCACGGGCTCTAGACACGCGGGCTTCAGTAGTTGCGGCACGCAGGCTCAGTAGTTGTGGCTCGCGGGCTCTAGAGCGCAGGCTCAGTAGCTGTGGCGCACGGGCTTAGTTGCTCCACAGCATGTGGGATCTTCCCGGACAAGGGATCGAACCCGTGTCCCCTGCATTGGCAGGTGGATTCTTAACCACTGTGCCATCAGGGAAGCCCCAAGAAGGTGTCTTTTTAAGAGAAGGGTGAATATTCTAGGTGGACAGTTAGGATAGTTTTTTACATATAATTTAGTCTTATGAAAAGAGCTGAATTATAAAGGAAGGTGTTGTTATAATTTTATAGAAGAGGAAAGCTAGGGAAAAATACTTTTCCAACTGCCCAAGAGTACATTTGTTATTTTTGAACTTGGAAGTAGAACCCAAGCCTCTTAATGTTCAGTCCAGAAGACATTATTATTAGTGTTGTTGTTAATCCTTCCATATCTCAACACTTGTGACAAATGAAACCATTATGAGGAGATACACTTTTTTTTTTTTTTTTGCGGTACGCGGGCCTCTCACTGTTGTGGCCTCTCCTGCCGCGGAGCACAGGCTCCGGACGTGCAGGCTCAGCGACCATGGCTCACGGGCCCAGCCGCTCTGCGGCATGTGGGATCTTCCCGGACCGGGGCACGAACCCGTGTCCCCTGCATCGGCAGGCGGACTCTCAACCACTGCGCCACCAGGGAAGCCCGGAGATACACATTTTTTAAAACCAGTGATGAGCCTTCTGCAATCTCTGAAGAACGGAAAACCCTTAAGAACCAGAATCTATTTTCCATGAAGAAGAAAAAATTACATAGTTCCAGAACTTTGTTTTCATGCTAATTTAATGATCTTTTAGTAAATGTAAAGTAAATATTTAAAATCCACCTTTTCTTACAGGAGCATACCTTTATTGCTTCATTACGAGACTGGTATAGAGTCACTGTTCTGTATTTTTGAATATAAGAATGTACTTTGCCTAGAAGATAAAGATTTTGATTAATTACTAGGCAATTTAAAATGTACTATGACTATATCTTTTCTTTCTGTTAAGTAATGCTAAAACCAGTTACTTCCATGAGTAGCACTTTCAATTTGAGAAACTACTCTATTTTTGTAAATTAATTGAAAATTACTAGTGTGAGGAAATTGTTTTTCTTCCAGTACATGAAAACTATGAAATCTAATAGTGTACCTCTTAAATTTTGAATGCAAGGGAAATTATAGAGTGTAAATTAAGGTTTCATTTACAGTGTTGCTTTCACTCAATAATTAATACTTACTTTTCAGGTATTTGATAAATACCAATTGAAAATAAAAGTACAAGACATGGATGGTCAATATTTTGGTTTGCAGACAACTGCAACTTGCATCATTAATATTGAAGATGTGAATGACAACTTGCCGACATTCAACCGTCTTTCTGTAAGTGTGTGATATTAATAAAAGAAAAATGTACAGTGTAGTGTTAGTTGCTACATATGTGCACCTCCACCCATGCCCCATGATTTCAAATGAAGTATTCCCAGCCACGTGTCAGTAGTTTGGACTTGGGGTTTAAAGTCATGTTAACATAGTACTTTAGAAATTAGAAGAACTGGGCTGGCTTTACCTGGTGTTTTATTTTTGTGAGAGTTACTAATTAAACTTTTTTTTGTTTGTTTTTTATTATTTTAGTATGAGACATCAGTGGAGGAAAATAAAATTGATGTGGAAATCTTACGTGTTGCTGTTACAGATAAGGATTTAATTAATACTGCTAATTGGAGAGCTAATTATACCATTTTAAATGGCAATGAAAATGGAAATTTTAAAATTGTAACAGATCCCAAAACCAATGAAGGAGTTCTGTGTGTGGTTAAGGTAAGAATAACTTAGGAAATTAGTTATTTGTAGTTTATAATGTCACAGATTAGCATACTAGAGCTTAATGAAAAGAAAGGAATTATGGTAAATGTAGGAATAAAATAGATATTTAGGTAAATGTAAACACTACGATAGTGGGATGAATATACAAATTTTGGAGAACATTTTATAAAGGCATGATAGTTTAAAATGATTATATATGCATGTTCAATTAATATGATATAGTACCCACTTTGTAACCAGTATCTCTTAATGATTAAAAAACTAGCACAGCTGTGACACCAGTGGGACACTGCCAAACTTTCCTAGTCCATTCTACCTATAGCTGTGTCCAGGAGCCTCTACTTAATTACTGAATTTCCCAAATGATGAGTTATTCCTGGTCAGACCCATAGGGAAGCTATTTATAGATCTGTTCATCTGTATCCAGTGTACATTACATTCTTAGCTTCCTGGTTCAAAATGGAATCCTCACCCATTTGAAGATGTAAATACTTCTAAAACCTCTTTCTAATAATATTCTACAATTATCTCAAAAGACATCACTGCGAATTCAGGAGGCAGAGTTAGCCCATAAAGTGATCTGAGCTCTGGCTTTGGACAAAACCATGGGCTTATTTCTGCTGCCTCTAACTAAAACATGATTCTATCCTGGGTCTCTGTAGCTTCCCTTCTGTACGTATTCACAAGGAGAATGGATCAAACATGATGAATTCTTTTTTTCTTACAATGATGAAAATTAGCTGCAGTTTGTGGGTTAATTTCTGTTTCAAAACAGCAAAGGGATTGTCCCTTAAATCTTGTCTCTTTCTTTAGATATCAGGCAAAATAAAATGAAAACCTTCCATTAAACTTGGTACTACCCATTTTTTAGAGAGTAACTGGATTAAAAGAGATTAAAAAAGAAAGTGTAAAGCCCATAAGCTTTCTATTTTCTTGTCTCTCTTATCTTGAAAACATTTCATAAAATTTGACCCACGTTTTCTACCCCAAACCAGGTACGAATAATTGTACTCATCTCAGAAGGGTAGGAAAAGTGGTTCCAAAATTAATGGACTAGTAAATTACTGTTGATTAGGGTATGGAGTCCCTAAAGTAATATTTCAAATAATATTTAATTAAATGCTATCTGAAATCGCCATCAGGACCTATAATATTACTTGTGTTAAATTTGCAGTTGAGGAATTTTTTTTTTCTTTTTTTTTTTTTGCTGGCTCCACCCAAATGCTCAATCAGTTGAAGGATTTCCCTCCTTCCACCACCATCATATTTGTGGGTATATGTTTAATATTTTCATGACTGTTCCCGACACAGCACTTAACATTTTTCCAAAGCTAACTAGTTACACACTAGTTCACATTGCCAAGTACTATTTCTTGATCTGATTTCCAACACGCTTGCTTTTGTAGCCACTGAATTATGAAGAAAAACAAGAGATGATCCTACAAATCAGTGTAGTTAATGAAGCTCCACATTCTGCTCGTTCAGGATCAACCGTGAACATGGCGACAGTCACTGTTAATGTACAAAATCAGGATGAAGGCCCTGAGTGTAGCCCTGCAGTGCAAATTGTTCGTATTAAAGAAAATGTACCAGTGAGCACAAAGGGCAGTGGATATAAAGCACATGACCCAGAAACAAATAGTAGCAGTGGCATAAGGTACTTGTAATTCTATTTTAGTTGATTTCAAATTTACCATGTTTTTAAAATGTATAACTTATTTTGATACCAGTATTGTAATTTGGCTTATGATCCATTTTGCTATTTTAATTCATCATTACTTACAGTTATAAGAAATTAAGTGATCCAGAAGGATGGGTCACTGTTGATGCAAACTCAGGATCAATCACAACTTTGAGAAGCCTGGATAGAGAGGCAAAGACCATCAGAAATGGTATATATAATATTACAATCCTTGCCTCAGACAAAGGTAAGAACTTTGTGTTTAAGCCAGCTGTATACACCCCCAACTACAGACATCCTCAGTTTTTAAACAACATACATTTTTAAGTCAGCTGCATACATTCTCAAAATTTATTTCACCCCAGATGACAAATAGAGTAATTGAGAGGTTTGCTATAATTTATTAACTCATGTCTGCTTTCTAATAGTACCCTCAGTTTTGTATGTAATTACGGTATAAAATAATTTAGTCATAGAAAATACTTGAGACTATAATTTATTAAAATTAAATAATCATTAAAAATTGAGAAAATTACTTTAGAAAAGTTAGCTTCAATTTAATTAGTCATATCTCTTAAAATATTCACTTTGACAGGAAAATTTATTACAGAGAGAACATACTTACTGCCTCATAGGTCAGTACTCAAAAAGTTATATCTTTCTACAGGAAACTGACAATATGCTTGGGGGTTAGTATTCTGACATTATAAAATTAGAAAAATTCTGTGAATCCACAAAATCATATAAAATGGAAAATCATTTTCTATGAGCCCTGTAAAATTGGAATGTGAACACAATGATTAGGAATGAGATCCTTTTACTGCATAAAGTATAATTTTACCATAATATACATTTGAACTTTTTGCCTCTGTAAAATAAATATGTTAACTACAGTAAACATAAATTATTATACTATAGCTTGCAAAATTAGAATTTAGAAGTGATTTTGGAAGATGTTTTAGATATTTCAACTTTTTTTAAATTAAAGAGAAATGGCTCATATCCATTGATTGAATTGGTAAAGTTGTAATCATTGTTAATGTAACTTCAACCAATTAAAGACTGCCCTTTAAGGCCTCAACTTCCTTTGTCCCTTTGTCAAAACATGCTTTTTGGTCAAAGCAAGTGAAAAGAAGAGAAATAATATGAAAATCAAATCCATTATTTTTACATTTTTAATTGCACTTGGCAAATGGTTTTTATCAATGAGATAAAAAATTACTGTCTGGAATGAGAGATTTTGGATGTAATTTTATTCTACATTTTCCTCTGTTGAACAAATGTTTTTATGGCATTTAGAAGAGAGGCACGGTTAATCATCATTGTGGTCGAGAATAAATGTGTAACAGGGCCTTTTCCATTAATTTCTTTTGAAGCTGGTAGGGGATAAATAACTCCACATCTTTTTATTTTCTGAACTGAGATCATACTAAAGTATGTTTTTTATTTGTTTTTGTCTTTTACCTTTTTCTAAAATCTATCCTGGCTCATTCCCTTGGAGCCCTCCCAGCTGCTGCTTCCGTACGAGAAATGTTCTCTCCTGTGAGCACTGACCTCTGAGCCTGTGCTCACTCCCTCTCCTACTTTCCTACAGCGCTTGTTTCCTTTTTTAAAACTCTCCCTCAAAAGCGTCTCAACTTTTCCACACATTTCTCTCTTATCTACATGCATTCTAGTTTTACTTTCTTCTCCTCTTCTAAACAGAGCTCTTTCTTAAGCTTTAAGTTCAATTTCTCTTCTCTTCTCAATCTAACCTCAGTTGGCAGTTTCGCCCAGGTGTTTCCTCTGTATAGCTGAGTTTTAGGTTTCTACTTTTGTTGTAAGATTCTAACTTTGGGGAGGAGGAGTGTGCTTTCAAACTTTTATTTTTTATTTTTATTTTTTATTTTTGTGGTACGCGGGCCTCTCACTGTTGTGGCCTCTCCCGTTGCGGAGCACAGGCTCCGGACGCGCAGGCTCAGCGGCCATGGCTCACGGGCCCAGCCGCTCCG